TGAACTTGAAAATAGGCATTTAATTTTATTCACGAATGGTTAGCGCTTCATAAAATTGGTACCAAGTGAGTCTTTGATAAAATGATGCACTTACCACTGAACAGCTTGGCGAGCGCGGCAGCTTGAGGTGCGAGGTGTGAACTCTTTGGATGAAGGAGTTGTTTAATGGTGCGAGACGGGTTGGAAAGCATACCTTCACGATACGCTTATTGGAGTTTTTAGGTAGAATCAACTTTGATGCAATTCTTTCATGCCTTGAAAGTACTATCACTTCTAGTCTGAAATAATTGCGGCAATCGCGCTGCAAATAAAAATGTGGCAGTACTCAAACGCTCTTTTAAGTGTTTCATTTGAATCGTAGTAGCAGCAAAAATGGTGCAAGAATGGAAAACCAAAATTTGTACACTCCCTTTTCATAGTGCATCAGTAGGCAGAACGGTTTCCACAGTGTCGAGTGCCTTTGACAAAGGGAGGTGTAAAACATTTGACTACAAACCAGCAAAGTAATTAAGCCAAAGTGAGGTGTGTCAGCGCATTAAGGAGTACCATTTCAAAGGTCACCACCTGGTGCCGCCTTATGGCACCATTAGTTCTCGCTTAATGCAGGGCATATGATCGGTCATTCATACCTTGTTTCATTCCACCTTTTGTGGCGCTTTACAAACCAAAACTTGACTATCTACGACTTTTGTTGAATTATCAGCACCGAAAAGCCAATACCGGAGATGTGCCGTAAGTGTATGTTCTTCTAGGAAGAACAGAAAATGGATGTAACTTTTCATTTGATGGCAAACATGTAGAAGAGTGAGAACTTTAAAAGTGTAGTATTCGGCAGGAGAGATGGACCTGATTTGCTGTAAAAATGGTATTAAAATACGATTTTATAAACGGACATGACTGCATCTACTGCAGCGCCACTTTAAAGTACTTGCATTTGCATTCAGCGATGACCCACAGTTCAAACGATTGCAACATTAAGTAAGAATCGTTATGCTAACAAGGCCCAACAACCAGAAAAACCCGGGGAAAACGGTTGCATTGGACAGGACGTCGAGAAACAGCGCAATCTCGCCAACGCCTCAAGTCCTTTAGCAGGTAAATCAGCTTCAGGTGACAATTGGGGCACCCACGGAGCAATCCATCACACCCTCATCCCTTAATATTGCCTTTGCACGCAAACTACCAACAATGCATACAAATGACTCGATGATTAGGCAAAAGGTGTGGAATATTCTGCTTTTTCTCTTTCTCTGGTTAAACCGCAACAGCCGCCGTGTATTTGGAGATCAAAGTGATACTTTTGAAACCAAGTCGATTGAATCGCATGAGCACATGTAAAAATTATGGTTTGCAAACAATCACCACGTTGCTAGAGTCAATACATACAGGAAACAGCACAAATAAGCTATCTTCGGTTTGGATTTAAACCATTGTTTCATTGGTTAATTATGGGTGAACGATCAACGGAATCCAACCTCAAGTGTAGCATTTGAGTGTCGCGAGAAAATGCGGAACTTACCCTTGCCGACAATATCACTACTGCAGGGCAGCGTACGCATTGAAATTGAGGACCAAATCACGCAAAGAAAAGGAAAACGCGATGGATGACAGAAAAAAGTTCACATGGAAATAGCTCATGCAATTCTCATCCCACCCTGGCATAGCAACGGCGTCAGTGGGTAGCGTATGCTTAACAAATTTCTTTGCAGGTTGTTTTCAAAACTCAAGTCACATGACGCACCGTGAACTTGAAATAACTCACCCCTCGAGGATCACTCTTGTAGCTTTACATACCTCTAGTCGAGAGATCCACACCTCCATCTCCAAGCGATGAAACAAACAAGGCAAGTCATATTCATCGGAAAAGAAGCCCATACCAATGCCACACGAACTCAAACGTGTAAGCATCTTTTTGTTTCCTCGCGTTCATCGTCGATCCTACTTTCAAAGTATGAAACCACCGCTAGATGAACTCTGAATAACACTTAAACAACGCTTGGAAAAGAGATCTGAAATGCCTTAAAATGCATTTCCTCGAAGAGACCAAGTGAGGATATAAAAGGAACCGCAACAACATCCTTATATGCTGCGGAAGCGGGGGGATTTGTAACAGTGCAAAACATTTACAAATACTTGAGAGTTAATAGAGTTTGCGTGATAAGCCGTGAGATAAGGGTAAGAAGAAGAGAAAGGAGAATAAACAGGATAGATGTACACACGGGATTAAAAGCATGTCTAACGGTAGGGCAGGCGATGCAGACAGACAGGCAGGCAGCAAGAGAAGAAAGTTATAAATGCGGAGGGGAAGAAGACGAGAGAATGGATACTAAAAGCAGCGGTACGCGCTAATATGAAAGACGATGTGGCATATGGAGAGCGGCAAGGACAAAGGAAGAGGTTGGCAATGAGCACTACGCATTTCAGTACTCGCTAATTCAAATCACGAGGACGGCGGATTCGGCTGCTGGTGGGCATACCAAAAGTACTCGTGATGGTACTCCTGTACCTCGCTTTCCGAGGCTCTCCCAGAAGTACTGTCAGTAGAATTGGGAGTAGAAACCAGAGGCTGAGCAGCCATGGTCTTCTTTGAGGCAGAGAATGAGAAGACTGGGGTGTCATTGTTGACCACTCGGGTGGGCTGATAAGGGTTTGAGATGAGACGGCAGGCGGGAGCTCGCTGAATACGGCGCCCATTGCCATTGTAACCGGCTGAGACGGAGCGCGGTGGACGAGGTGAAAGAGAGTCATGGCCGTTCTGCTCCAGAGGTGCTGCTTTGGGCGAATAGAGTTGACGTGGAGGTGTAACGACGCAAGATGGAGAAGAGGATGGGGGCAAGATAGAAGGGCGCTGATGGGAGGAGCGGGGTTCGGTGTAGTAAGTAAGTGGTGGTGAAGGTGCCGTTTGTGGAACCTGCTGCTGCTGACTGAGACAGTTCAAGTAGGCCTGCAAGGTGGTAGTATAGGTTGTGTTACGGTCGCATGGGGAGTCGCCTGCATCTCCACCACTATCGCTGTTGCCAAGATGGGGGTAAAATGCGTTCCGACGGACGTCCACGGCCACTGGTGGCACTATTTCG